CGCTTATATACTACAAGACCGACATAGTCCAAAATATGTAATTTCGTGAAAAATGTCTTTGAATGTTTAATCACTACTTTGTAAATTATATAAGATTCTCATCTAAATTGAAATGTTTATTTGTCTTATATCCGTAAAAACATGAGTTTTATATTTTACGTTTACATCAAAACATCGATCTGACTCCGAAAATAATAGAAATATTTGAAATTTGATAAATCTTTATGAGAGACACTTTACGAAGGTGCAGAATATAATAATCAAATTACAAATCTCCAAATTTATCTGTTTGTGACACTAACAAATTAAAATGTTTTTAATTAATTTATTTAAAGTTCAAAATACTGCAAAAATATAATCAAAATAATTAAGTACTTTACATCATTTAATGGCATAATCCTCCTAAAAATTGCAACTGTGCTTCTTTTATTTTCTTTTATTTTTAGTATTTCACCTGTATTCTTTCATAGTTTATTTTTATCCAACAATTCCTTTAGTTTTTCTGTTTTGTGTTTTTTCTCACCTCTCTTTACACACTCATTCTTTTATTTGTTATTTATTTTCTTTTCCATTTTATTTTTTTTTTTTTTTGTTTTTTTGTCTTACGTTATAATCACTTTTTCGCTCGTGTTGTTTTTTGGTTCATTCTTTTTGTAATTTTTGTTTTCTCCCATTTACCACTAACCAAACAACTTTCTGCATCTCTTTTGCACACTCAATACCTCTTGCTCATACATGCACCGTGCAAACACAATAAAGAACCAAAATCTGTTTTATTTTCATTGAGTTGGAGCTCGGCGGGGTGGTAGGCATTTTTTTTAATGAATTGTTTCTTTTTTGTTGGCTTTTTTTGGGGTTGAATTTCAATGAAAGCCGCAAACAAAAAATCTCTGAAAGAGGATGATTGAAGGGCAAAGAGGATGCGGCATAAGCCAAAAATGAAAAAACAGCAGAACAAGAATGAAGCAAATAAAAAAAAAATCACAATTCAAGCGAAAAAAAGACGATGGAGAATGAAATAAAAAAGTTTTATTGCTTCCATTTTCAAAGAAAATTTCTTTGTTTATTTTATAATTTCCACTTGATTTCAAATTTAGACAAATTATTTATTACAGCACTTTTCTTTTGTAAACAAAAATACACTCGCTGTTTTTTATGTTTATTTTTATTTAACTAAATTCAGTTTTTTGTTTATTTTATATTAATGAATTTAATTTTTTTTTTATATTTCTATTCATTCGTTAATTTTCTTTTTTTGTTGAAAACAAACGTCCGCCGTATTTTTTATTTTTCCACCATTTACTTTGGCTTCATTCTTTTACGTTTATTGATTTCCTTACCGAAAGAAAAAAATTATTGTAAATGGGACTTTTTTTGCTCAAGTTTAAAAATGTTGTATGCACTCTATAATTTTAACAATTTACAAATAATTTTTACACAAACTCTCTAGTGTTTATTTAAATATTTGATGCACTTGAAAAAGTTATTAAAATTGTAAAATTTTCCATTGAAAATTACAAAGGAAAAACGTAAAAGGATTTTTTCAAAAGAGTTTTTTCCCAGTACTGTGTTACAAATACCTGCACCGACAAACATTAATGGCGAAGGCGGCTGAAACTAAAATCTCGGCAGCGGCTTAAGATCGTGTATAAGCCGGCAAAGTTTTCAACAGGGAGTATAAATAAAATTACATAGGAACTTGTTGTTAAACATTTACAATAACCTTGGAAAATTGTTTGTATTATACAGCTACATATCTATCATGTTGAAAAGCGAATTAAACAAAATATGATCAACATTTTAAAAATGTGTTAAACTGAATATTGTCGGTGTCTTTTAAATTTTATTGGCGGCTAGGCGTTGAAGGCTTTTATCCAAATCGATGCTGCGTTTTTTAATTTTTGTTCGCCGTTTTCTACTTTTTTACTTTCGACCATTTTCGTTGGAGACTTGATGGCAGAGTTGCATTCTGCTATTTAAGTGGAATTTTGTAGAGTAAATACAACTCAGTATGCTTCAGTTATAGGGTGTTATAGTAAAGTGGTGTGGAACTACATTAATACTCTAAATCATTTGAAACCCATTTAAATTTTTCTAACTTTGGAAAGCTGTTTGTATTAGTTTTTAAGTTTAAGTAATTTTCAGAAGAGTTCTTTCTATGGAAGCTTTGACTAATTATGAGCCATAATTTGTGTATGTTAACTACATATTGGTGTAGAATTTTATCTCCATAGCATTATTAAGGAATGAGTTATTTACGATTAGAGGATTTCGAGAAGAGGTCTTTATATGGGAGCTATGATCAATTATTTTACAGAATGATTTGTATATATACAAAACATATTCGAGTATAATTTGTATCCCGATATCATTATCAATTTATGAGATATTTACGATTAAGTGATTTTGGGAAGCATGTACAGTCCCGTAAAAAATTTCGTACTATATACACAACATATACGTATTATATATTGTCCCCATAAGGCCATTTGTCAAAGTGAACATTATATGGGAACTATGGTCAATTGCAGACCAATCTAATCCTTAGTTGGCAATACAAATTCTATTGATATTTGATTTGTATATGCAAAATTTGCATATATGCAAAATTTTGCGGTAATAACGATATTCTAGATGAAGTTATTAACAATAAATCCCTTTTCCGGGAGTATGTAAATTTGTATGGGAACTATATGAAATTTTGAACCGATTCTAATAATTTTTAACTGTTAATCTCAGCATGAAAAAAATACTTGTTATAAAATTTATTGAAATAGAAGCTGTGGATTGCTAATATCTCCGTTAATTCGAAGAAAATTTTAAAAAATCGATAAAAATCAAAAAAGTGTCAAAGTCGAAAAAATTGAAAATTCAGAAAAAGTTCGAAAAATCTACTTTTTATAAAACACAAAATTCTAAAATTGGAATTTTCATAAAACGGAAAATGTCGAAAAAATTAAAAAGTCAGAAATAGTTCGAAAAGTCGACTTTTTATAAAACAAAAAATTCTAAAGTTGAAAAATCGACTTTTTAAAAATACCGCTAACTATAAGAATACGGAACTTCGGAAAATTAGATTTTAGAAATTTCTAACGGAATGACGAATGTATAAATACCCTTCTCGCGAATACTACATGAATATTGTCTAAATTTAAACTCAGAATAAATAAATACAGTGGTTTCCCGGTTTAATAAAAGATATAATGTTATTCCTATTCGTAAGAACGAAAAATTCGTTAAATCGAATAACAACTTTTCTATGATTTAATGATCAAAAAATGGTAATGGAAGGTAGGAAATCTATTTTTTAGATCTTTTTAATTGGGCTCATAAATATTGTGACCATTTCTATGCATTTTTCTGCATTTTGCAAAATAAAGAAATTTTTTTCGTTAAAATTAGAAACAAAGCAAAATTAAAGATTTTAAATTACGGATATAAAACCCATGTGTAAGATTCTGAATATTTTCTAGGAATTTTGTTGACAAACAATTACATTTGTCTCTGTAATTTTAAAACAATCACCTTTAAATAAAGATTTTTACGTTAATATGTACATATATCTTTTTTAAAAATCCTGTGCCCCGTTTCTGTAATTCTCGCATCGAGAAAATCTGTCGAAAAATTCATGATCATCTTGTGTAAAACAGGGTGAATACAAGAAATTTAAAAATTTGGACTATGCTTTCAGAGTATATGTTTTCTATACATTTTCTAAAAATTAGTTAGATACTTATACATATTAAACCGATTTTCTATTTTTACCTCGTGTATCAATACCCATCATACCCCGCTATGTATACAAATTATAAGTCAGATATCGGACAGAAATTAAGTTTCATTATAGATTTTATGTTTTATTATTAGAATTATATATATTCTTGTATATTATGAAAAAAATTTAAATAAACAACAAATTTAGTTTCAAATACAGAGTCATGTGTCTTTATTCATAAATTTGAATGTGATATATTTGTGGACCCTGTAACATTAACAAATATGGGCCGATTTTGATGAAATAATTTTTTTTATTGTATATGATTTTATTATATAATTTTATTCTCATATAAACAAAAATATTTAAGTTTAAATCTTAAAATTTTAATTTTTGACCATGACTTTGCAAACTTGTTTGCATAAAAGTTCCCTACTTACGAAAGCAAAAACAATTTCTTTAATGCTATTCGATTTTATACACCTTAATAAAAAATATATAAAAAGTTTCGTTCAATTATCTTTCCCGGTCACTGAGTAATAGCTTCTTGAAGTCAAAATTTTACAAAGTCAAATTCTGCATAATGTACATTATACGTTATGAAGTCGTTTTTCTTTAGGTTTTTTGCATATGATACTTTTATTAATAGGAAAGCAATAAGAAAACTTATTATTATTAATTTATATATACAGACGTTTTATTAAATTAGTTTTAATAATTATCTGAATTATACACTAGAAATGTATAAAAAGATGAAATAGCCATATGACATACCCGGGTATGTTGGGTATTGATGTACGAAATTTTGCTCGGGTATAGACAAGACGGTTAAACCGGGAAATCAGTGTATTGCTTTTTTCTATACAAATTTACTTTAAGTGTATCAAACGCAACTGTAAATAAACATTTCAAAATGAGTGTAATAACGTCTTCCAACACTGTCAGAAATGTGTAAGCACGCCCTTTAAATTCTTATTAGATAAAAAGGAAATCAAGAAAACAACGTTGTTTATTTACGTATTAAAAGAACTACAGGACGTAAAAAACAATGTTTTTATTAAAAAACCATACAATTTTATAATATTTTCGTAATTTATTTCTTTAATTTATAATAAAACAACATAACACAATAATAAAATGTAAAGGTATATTTAACAAAAATACTACTTTTAACAAGTTAATACAACTGTGTACATTAGTGAGATACTACTATTTTAACATTTATTTATTGTAAAAATGAGAAAATTTTAGTTTGTGTTTTGCTCTGGTAAATGACGGGTCAACGCGTTAACGTATAAGTTGTAGTGGCAAACTAATGACGGGTAACGGGCCTAAGAAAAATATATACAATTTGCAATAGTTTCTGTTTGCTAATATGTTTGTGAAAAATACATAGAAAAATCAATAAATAAATAAAAAACAAATTATTAAGCATAGAGAGGGGTTATAAAAAAATTTTACGTTTTTTAAAGAAAAAGGAAGTGGAAAAAGTGTTGTAAAAGCGTTGGGGAATGTTATAAAAATAAATGTTTAACAAACAAACCAACCAACAGCAAATAACAAAAAGAAAAGGCAAAATAAAAAAATCAATATAAAAACAAATGCAAGTAAACTGGTTTCTCTCTCTCTTTTTTTCCTTCTACTACTCCACCGTGCGTTTCCCTTAAAGAAAGAGTGTGTGTGTTTGTTTTTGGTTGTTAAAAAAACCAAAACAAGTGAGAAATTAATTAAAAATTACAAGAAAATAAATAAATAAAAGAAATTCTTGCACAATTTCATATAAATAATACAAATTTTTACCACTAAATTAAGAAAAATCAAAATTTTCTCCAAAAATATAAGTGTAACACAAAACCTGCATAAAAAAGTGTTTTTTTTTAATGTATAATCAAAATTTTGTAAAAAAAATCATAAAGAAAATTGTAAAGTGCAATATTTAAAAGAAAAAAAATCATCATTATTACAAAATCAAATTGTTGAAAGAAAAAGCAAGAAATTCAAATATTGGCCAAGGTTTTGAAAATTAAATAAAAGAAAAATTCTATCAAAATAATATATTATTTCTGTGTATGTTTGTTTATATATTTTTTTCTTTATTTATAATTATTTTATCTATATTTTCCTCTCTTCAGTTTATAACATTGTAGTTGTTGTGTGTTTAATTCTTTTTCTTTATTTTTCTGTTTTTCTTAAGAAAATCGATTGTATTGTGGGCCATACCATAAAGGAATAAAAACGCCAAAAATTAAAAAAAAAATACTCAATTAAATGAAAAAGATTCTTATTTGATTTTAAATATTTGTTTGTTTTGCAAATTTCATTCATTTAAAATAATAACAACAACAATAATAACAAAAGCAGCACAAACAAAAACAAAATCAACACAAATTAACGCCCCACCTTTGACTTTTTGCATTTTGTTCCTGTAATGTTGTTAGTGTGTGTGTGTGTTTGTGCATTTTAAAAATACAAATTACTCTCGAGAAATATTGACTGTTAAATGTGAATTTTAAAGGATTTATTTTGAAATCAATTAGATAAAGATTTAAGTGCATAGAAATTGATAATTTTATGAAATATTTGTAAATTTAATTGAAGAAAACTTTAATTCTATAATAAAAATGTACCTATGTCTCTCCACCGAAAATCGGTAGTTTTCTCTTTAAAACGCATTTTTAATTGTTGTTCAAGTTAAAAATTGTCAGAGTTTTTTAATTCGATTGTAGTTTTTGAAACATCTTTAGAAGGACATAACTCTTCTACTGTTTAAAAAAGTTAGAAACTTAATTAATTTCACTACAAATTTTTAACCCAGAGACTAAAATGTACTTTTCTAAAGGATTGAGCAGCGCTGAATCCGAAACTGGCCTAAGAATTTCTTCATTACATCTGGGATTCGAGTTTTTGTCAGTTTATTGTTGTATCAAGCTTTAGGTGAAGATATCTCGAATATAAAAGAAGATATGTCAGATCTTTCTAATTTTTTACATAAAGTTGTCTTGGTGCTGTTATAACGAATCAAAAAGAGATAAAAATAAAGATTTTTTAAATTTCAGGACATGATATCTCAAATTCCAGCTGTGATAGAGAAAATCTAAGGTCAGATTCGTATGCAGCGCTGCCCAGTCCTTTACAATGAAATGGTCTCAGGGATTCGACATTTTTAAAATTTTTCCAGTTTTTTTTTACCCATTTTATGGAACTTCAAAATCATTTTTGACCGATACTTTATTAAGAAAGCTACTTTTTATTTTGTATGTTTTTCTTTTAGTAATTTTTTTCCAAATTCTGTTAAAATTGGCCATAATTTAAAAGTTTAATAAGTTTCTATTCAAATACGTTTAGATTTAATTTAAAAATAACATAACAAAATAACAAAGCCAAAAATGGATTTAAAATTTCAAAATTGGAAAAAATTCAAATTTGAACATTTGGACGAAAAAAGATAATTTTGTTGATTATTATATTTTCCAAAAATTCATTCCCAATACTAACTCGATTTCTAAATAGAACTTTCTGTAAGAAAATTGTAATATCTCCAATAAATTATATATATAACTGTTTTATAAAGTGAATAATTTATATTTAATTGTTTTTCTTTGCAAATTAATTTATTTAACAATCTTCTTTATAACAAAATTGCAGTATAACAATTTACATAAATTTTCTGTAATAACAGTTTTATACTTTTTCCCATAGAAATTTTTTTGTCCGTATATGAAGTTTGTGAATAATAGTTTTAAATAGGAATTATGTCAGAAAATTGTAATTTCTCCAGTAAATTATATGTATGTATAACAGTTTCAAACATTAAATGATTTTTATTCTGTTTTCCTTTACAAAAGTATTTATTTAACAGTATTTTATTCTTAAAAATTTCGTGATATATCTTTTTTTTATAAAAAATCTCAGTATAACATTTTTTACACAATATTTTAAAGCTTCTGTTTAACACTTTTCTATATAAAAATTCACTTGTATAAAATTTATGTATAATAGTTTTTTTATAACAATTTTTCTATACATATTTTAAAAATTTTCAGTATAACAGTTTGATTTAGAATATTTTCTAGAATATCTTTTCTAATAAAAAGATTTAAAAATAATATTATAATTTAAATTAAAAATTTTACAGGGTAAAAGTTTTTTTCTATAAATATTTTCAGTATAACAGTTTTTTTAAAGAATATTTTCTAAATTACAGTATCATCACTAGAAATTTGTTTGTATAAATTTTTTTTTTGTTTTGGGTGGTACAGAATTATTTTGGAAATTTGTCTGTATAAAATAAATTCACTGTATAATAGTTTTTTTTAGCATACAATTTGTGTATAACAGTTTGTCATGGAAAATTTTTCGTAAATAAAGTGTTTTCTTTAGAAATTTTTATATATATGTATGTGTATAGTATAACTTAACAGTATAACAGTTTTCCTAAACAACAATTTTTGTTTTTATAATAATTTTCAGTATAACAGTTTATTTTTAGAATATTTTCTAAGTTACAGAAACTTCTCTAGAATGTTTTTGTTTAACAGTTTTTTTTATACACATTTTTAAAATTTTGGCTAGTTCAGTATTATTTATAGAAATAACAGTTATTTCTGCATAAATTTTTGTGTATAACAATTTTCTATGGGATTTTGTAAATAAAGTTAGAACGTTTTCTGTATAACAGTTTTCTAATACAACAATTTTACAGCATAAAATCTGTTTCTATAATAATTTTCAGTATAACAGTTTCTGTTTATAATATTTTTTAAATAACAGTATCTTCTGGAGAAAGTCTTTTCGATACACATTTTCAGTATAACAGTTATTTTATATATAATATTGGTTGAATAACAAATGTTTTTTGAATAGAAGTTTACAGTATAAGAGTTTTTCTTCATATGATTTTGTATAAAAGTGGTATAACAGTTTTTTTTGTATATACAATTTTAATATAACAGTAGCCGTTTTACTTTCCGTTATTCAATTGTAATAAAATTAATTTAAAATATGTAAATTCTAAACTTTCTGAATTTTTTGACATTTTCTTTTTGTGAAAAATTTGGTTTTTCAATATTTGTTTAAATATGTATTTTGAAGATTATTTCAATAATTGCAAACTAATTAAAAAATATTCTGATATAAATATACTGCTAATTAGTAATTAGTACAAAACTATTTGTTTTACCTTTACTGACTTAATTTTTCGAGTGAATTTATATGTTTGCTTGTTTATTTTGTTACTGTAACATAATGTGTATTTTTTGTTGTTTCTCTGTTTCTTTATTTCTTGTCGTTTGTTGTTTTTGTATTTTGCACATTATGGGCATAAACATTATGATAAATTTGAGGGTGGTTGCAAATGACGTATAAATAAATGAATGAATAAGTGCATTAAAACAAAAACAACAAGAAAAACAACAAAAAATTGCTTTGTTGTTTGTTTGACAACTGACTTGGTTGACTTGTGAACATTGCACCAGCACATAAATTGACATTAAAAAGTCACACATAAAAATGTACACATGCATTAAAAAAAACACACACACAATAAAAACATAAAAAATGAGAAAAAAACATGTATTTTAATTTGTCATTTGCTTAAGCAAAAATTTTTAATAAATTTATGTATTACATGCAAAAAAATACACAGCAACACACACACACAAATATTACACAATGCAATTTTTCATGTTTTCTTTTGTTATTGTTGTTTTTTTTACTACTGTAATTTGCATAAGAAACAAATACTATACATACTCATGCATACAGCTATTGCAAAGGGAAAATTAACAACAAAGACAAGGTATACAGGAAAAATATAATAAAGAAGAAGAAGAAGCAACAGCAGCAGTAAAGCCAGAATATGTTAAAGCACATGACAACACTTGGGGAATTTTAAATAATATGCAAAAATAACAGCAGCAACAACAATAATATCACTGTTTTTTAAACAGAGAGCGAGATAGTTGACTGCCGAGTGAGAGTAGTTTTGTTTTTAAAAGAGTAATAAAAAAATATATCACAGTTACATTTGTATGTAAATAAGCATGTACTTATTGCTAGTATGTATGCAAATGAGCAATGTAATGTAAACTAAATTTTAAAGAGACCAGGTGGTTTTTCTTCTATTTTTAGGGAAGAGGTAATAAGATTTGTTTACAAATAATAGATTTTATTAAACTTTCAAATTTTGAGAGAAGATCGAATTATCTTTTATTATAGAAACAATTCTAGACAGTTTTAGTTATTGGTCTTCTTAACAATACAATCGATTTTGCTTCTTCTTTTTTCGAAACTTTTCTATACAACATTTAAATTTTATAATTTTTATTAAAATTTTAAAAAAATCTCTTTTCTCTTGCAGGCATTTAAAGAAAAAAAATAAAAATTAATTCTTAAAAAAATATAATCAAGTGTAAATATTAAACAAAAATAGTTAAAGAAATTTATAAAAATAATAATAATTATAACAAAACGTGAGCTGTAGTTAAAGGATAAAAATAATCTAATAAATTATTACCAAATACTTAAAGATTTATATCGAACGTGCTACGTTGCAGCATGTCGACAACTTCGTCCATTGAAACGCCAACTTCACCAACGGGTCCACTACAACATCAGCCACTGCAACACAATACAAATCGTAGTAGTCATCAACATACAGCATCGTCGCATCAACACACTACGAGGGCTATTGTAGTCAGCGCTGGCGCTGGTCCACATAATAATCCCTATACACAAACTACCACTACTACAGCGGCTGCAAACAGTAACGTTTCCCAACAGCTAAATAATAAACGTTCTCATTCCACTTCCTCGTCAGCGAACGGGTCTTCCTGCCATAACGGCGGCTCCTCGTCCTTTAATCCCATGGCCAATAATATGATTTCGCATGCCAGTCACAATCAGCAGCAACAACATCATCAGTATAATAATCAATCTTCTACTCATTCACTTTTAACACCCTCATCCTCGAACGCTTCGTCGCCCTCTGCATCGGCTAGTGCTTCTACTGCTGCTGCTGTGGCCGTTCATCAGCAGCCACAATACTCCCACAATAATCATTCAACTAATTCATATTCAGCTCAGCAACAACAACAACATCATCATCACAATAGTTCTTCTACTTCGTCGGCTTCGTCCTCCTCATTTTCCCATCAAAATCATTCTTCAACACATTCTCATACACAATATCAACAACAACTACCACATCAACAACAACAACAACAGCATCATAATCATCATCACAATCATTTGCAATTTGCAAGGCCATCGACGTCAATGTCAGCTCCTTGTACAGCCGCCACCTCTTCGTCGCAAAACAGCTCGTGCACACCATGCAGCATTAAACGTCATACTACAGATGTTTCTGTTTGCTCTTCATCGTCCTCCTCTTGCTGTTCATCGGCCTCATCTAATTCGGTCTCAGCTGCAGGTGGCGGCCATAGTGCTGCTGGAGGAAGTGGAGGTGGTGGTGGTGGTGTTGGTGGCAGTGGCTCAGCAGGTGTAGGCCAAGGAAATGCCCATATTGTTACTCCGGCCGTGATTACGCAAAAATCGCGTACTATACCCTCGGACAAGGTGAGTTTTAAAAATATCTTCCTCTTTCCTTCTCTCTCCCACTCTTTCTCTCTTTCTCTATTAAATCAAATAAAATTTTGTTAAAAATTTTTACTTGCAAAAAACCATAAGAATTGGTTTATTTTTATAAACTCTCCGAGTTGTACTTGTATAATGTAAAAGCTGCATATTGTAGCATATGTTGAGGCTTTAAATACACTTGTTTTTTTGTAGCATATTTTTAGACATACAAATAATTTACAAATAGTACTACTGCATACCCAGATTTCTCTTTACTCTTTTGTGTATGTGTGTATCTGTGTGTTTGTATTTTACTTCTGTTCTTGAGTTTTTTTTCTCTACTTACATTGTGGCATGCATTTATGTTCGTTCGTTTTTTTTTTCATCTGGGATTTTTGTTTAAATGTGGGTGGCTGTCGTTTTTTTTAATTTTTTGCTCTTGTTCATCTTTTGTTGGGTTTCAAAAGGCCTTGCAAAGCTTTTTATTTTTATATTGATTTTTTGTTGTTGTTGTTGCTTCCTTCATATGCTGCTGTAAATTCTAAAAAAAATATAAAAACAAGTTTCATATTCGACGAATCTTAAATATCCTTCACTTAAGCAATTACATATAAGTGATTTTCAGAAAAGAGCTTTATGAACAGCGAGGCGGTCATGGCTAGATCGATCCTTTATCCATAAGGACTCGGAATATATGTATGTTTTAGAGTGTCCAAAAATTATACTGTAGAAATTACAAATGGATTGACAAACTTATATATGCCCTTCGCACGAAGGTGAAGGGTATAAAAATACTAGAAAAACACAAGCAGCATTTCAATGTTAACTTTTGTGAAATTGTACAAATTCCCAGAAAAAAAAAAAAAAACACATACAAATAGAGATTTTTGCAAACTAGTGCATACTTTTAGGCGAGTTAATGCACAGCAGGTCCATATTGATGATGATGATGATGTGCCTTCAATGTTATAGTCATCATATGTTTTTGGTTTTTGATTTTATTTTCTCTTCTTCATCTTCTTCTCTAAGTTTAATATAATGCTGAGATTTTGCTTTTGTGTTAAACGATAAGATATGTTTGTTTCTTCGTTTTATATTATTGTCCTGATGAAGTCTATATATACTAATGCTTTTACTATAAATTAAGCTTGCAGCTGTAATAGTCCAACCAGCCATATATTTTTTTATTTTCTTATATTTATTTCATCATGCCCTTCAGTAAGGATTTCGTTAGATTTGTATGCCAATAATCATTGGCAATATTTATTATGTTGAAACTACTTCTATTGTTAAAATCTCGTTTAACATTATTCTTGTTTTTTTTTCTTTGTGTTTTGTTGTTGTTGTTGTATGGTGTGGGTAGTAAAACATTTTAATATTAAAAAATTGGAAATTTAATGTTTGTTGTTGTTTAGAAAAAAGAAATAAAAATGAAATTTCTTTTAATTTAAATACTTTTAAATATTAGTTTTTATTATAAATCAAACCTTGCCAAGAGGTGACATTCTTTGTTAAGTTGCTAAAAGGGAAATTGGAAGAAATGTCGAACTAATTTCATAGTTTTGTACTAATTTTTTTACTTAATTAATGGTATAATAGGGAAATGATTTCTTGTTGCCACATTTACGACTCTTTTAGAATTGTATTAACAGAAAAATTTTACCTTAAAAATGTTTCAATAACAGAGGGCCAATTCGGATTGTAACAATGTTTTGTATACCTTTCACCATCGTGTCTTTCCGTTTGTAATTTGTTACAATATAATTTTCCGACCCTATAAAGTATATACATACATGTGTATATGTATTCTATAACCAAGATCCTTATAGATAGCGGAAACGATTATGCCATGTCCGTCTGTCTGCTGAAATCAATTTTCTGAAGACCGCAGATGTCTTTGGGACATCTTCGGTCTTCAATAATTCCATCTGACATGCTTTCGAGAAGATTCCTATTTAAAATCTGCAAAATGGGTCCATAAAAAACGGAGATATGAGCAAAAATCTGAGACAATCTGAGTTAGTTAGTTAGTTAGTTTAGTTAGGTAGTTATTAGTTATTTAGTTAGTTAGTTAGTTAGTTAGTTAGTTAGTTATTTTAGTTATAGTTAGTTAGTTAGTTAGTTGTTAGTTAGTTTAGTTAGTTGTTCGTTAGTTAGTTAGTTAGTTAGTTCGTTTACGTTAGTTCGTTCGTTAGTTTAGTTCGTTAGTTAGTTTAGTTAGTTCGTTTTAGTTATTGTTAGTTAGTTAGTTAGTTAGTTTTAGTTCGTTAGTTCGTTAGTTCGTTCGTTCGTTCGTTAGTAGTTAGTTCGTTAGTTCGTTAGTTTTAGTTCGTTCGTTTCGTTCGTTCGTTCGTTCGTTCGTTTTGTTCGTTAGTTCGTTTCGTTCGTTCTTGTTCGTTCGTTCGTTTCGTTATTTTTCGTTCGTTCGTTCGTTCGTTCGTTCGTTCGTTCGTTCGTTAGTTAGTTTCGTTCGTTAGTTCGTTAGTTAGTTAGTTCGTTCGTTCGTTCGTTTCGTTCGTTCGTTCGTTAGTTCGTTCGTTAGTTCGTTCTTCGTTCGTTCGTTCGTTCGTTAGTTCGTTGTTAGTTCGTTAGTTTTTCGTTCGTTTTGTGTTCGTTCGTTAGTTCGTTCGTTCGTTCGTTCGTTAGTTCGTTCGTTCGTTCGTTCGTTCGTTCGTTTTGTTCGTTTCGTTCGTTATTTTCGTTCGTTTAGTTCGTTCGTTCGTTCGTTCGTTCGTTCGTTCCGTTCGTTCGTTCGTTAGTTCGTTCGTTAGTTAGTTCGTTGTTAGTTCGTTCTCGTTCGTTCGTTCGTTCGTTCGTTTTTGTTCGTTCGTTAGTTCGTTCGTTCGTTTGTTCGTTAGTTCGTTCGTTTGTTCGTTCGTTTTCGTTCGTTAGTTCGTTCGTTCGTTCGTTTGTTTTTCGTTTAGTTAGTTCGTTCGTTCGTTCGTTCGTTCGTTAGTTCGTTGTTTTCGTTCGTTCGTTTCGTTCGTTTTTGTTCCGTTCGTTCGTTCGTTCGTCGTTGTTTTCGTTCGTTCGTTCGTGAGTTAGTTAGTTAGTGTAGTTAGTAGTTAGTTAGTTAGTTAGTTAGTTAGTTAGTAGTTAGTTAGTTAGTTAGTTAGTTAGTTAGTTAGGTAGTTAGTTAGTTAGTTAGTTAGTAGTTAGTTAGTATACTTAGTTACTTAGTTACTTAGGTTCTTAGTTACTTAGTTACTAGTTACTTACAAAAGTTACAAAAAGTTCTTTTGTTACGCAAAAAGTCCCCTTTGACGCAAAAAATCCCTTTTTCAAATAGTACCTTGTTTACAAAAAAGGTACTTTTTACAAAAAAGGTCCCTTTTTCACAAAAAAGTTCCTTTTTTACATCGCATGTGCCTTTTAACCACAAAAGTCCCCTTTTTAGCACAAAAATCCCTTTTTACATAAAATGTGTCTTTTAATACAAAAAGTCCCTTTTTACAAAAAAATCCACTTTTACACAAAAAGTCGCTTTTTTACACAAAATGTTACTTTTTACACAAAAAGTAACTTTTTAGACGAAAAGTCACTTTTTACACGAAAGTCGCTTTTTTACACAAAAATTAACTTTTTACACAAAGTCACTTTTTCTACAAAAAGTCACTTCTTACACAAAAAGTTCCTTTTTTGTTCAATAGCCCCTTTTTATGCAAACTTTTTAAAAACAATTTCATGGTAAAAGTTCTACATATTTCAGAAAGAGTATATTAAACCATTAAAGCCTATTCGGTTAAAGAAGTTTATGAGCGCAACAAATTCTTTTAATTTTTCTTAAAACAAATCCCTTAAACCTCAACTATAAACAAGAAAACAAACACTTTAAAAATTATCTCTACGCCTAAACATATACTTTATATTATTTGATATAAACACCCCACAATATGCTACAAATTCTTATTAACAAATTGTTTTTTTTTTGTTCATTCTCTCAATTTGTAGTCTGTCTTATTTACTACAACAAATACTATTTAATTATTAAAATAAAAACATGTTGCCGCAAGTAAATCTTCAATATTTATTAACGTCTTAAGCTGATTTTCTCATTAATTACGCAAACTTTAACAAAAGTAAATTAGAAGTAAGCACAACACCAACACTAACACAAAACCCAAACACATGTAAGAACCCAAACTCCATTTAGAACAGACCCTGCTTCAGTTCCTTCAAACTAAATAAGACAAAAAATATATTTATTTAAGACAAGAGTAAAACTTAATTAACTGAAAAAGAAAAAATATAATACTTTTATCCTTGAAAAATATTAACGAAAACAAGAAAACATACAAGACATTTTCAAGGAGTCAACGAGAGGGAGAGAAGAAAACTAAAAAGGACACACACAAGTTAAGTAAATCACTGCAACGTCAAATGCGTATTAAGAAATACACTTAATGTACAGAAAAATGAAAAAAAAAGAAAATCTATATGTTTAACATACTTTGTTGTTTGTTATTTAAAGTATTTTATGAAAAAAGAAAGAAAGCAAGAAAAAAAAACATTAAACAAATAATTTTTGTTAAGCAACAAAAGTCGCGTCATTCAAATGTTATCCCAGACATTTCTAATGGTCGACTAAGCGCCAGACCCCAACTGTTGTATTTCTATTTTTTTAATTTTCCTTAATCTTCTCTCTCTCTCCTTTATCTATAACATTTCAGTTGCCTTGAATTGGTATTTTGTTGTTTTTTTTATTTTTGCTTGTTCAATCATACAATTATTGCTTGTTTATTCTTGTGTTTGTTGTTGTTGTTGTTGCTAAGCCTAAATGACATTGTAAATTTGTCTTTACGTTCGTTTAGCCATTAAAAACACTCTCGTTTAAATTTAATTTTTATCATAAAAATCAGCTCGTGCTTCGTCGGTCTGACCACATTTATGGCTGGATTATTGTAATTTCTTTTACAAATCATTAAAAACATATTGTTTTATAATGGTGGATGAGAAATTTAGGGAAATTAATAATAATTTTAAAAATGTAGCATAAAACT